AAAGAGATGAGAGAACTCTTCTTCGCTCGCTTGTCCTGACCAACAACAGCAATCGCTTACTTCTCTAAGGAGCCTTCCCGCTGTCGGGCCTCACTAACCCCTGCAAAGGCCGGAAACAGCGCCATGACTACAGGCCGCACTGCCGTTTCTCTCTACAGAAATGGCGCCAGCGACGAGCGCACTGTCCGAGAGGCCTACACGCGTCGCGGGTCTCTGGAAAAAAAGGTGTGGTTTTCTGGAGCCCCCGCCGGGGCGTGATCCCAGACAGGAGGGCCCAGGGCGGTCCGGGGGGGCCGGCTTCGTGGGGCCCGGCAAACAAGGGCCGGAGAGGGGCGGGGCGCTGCGGTAGGGACAGCTTCCTAGTGATTAGCACCCTGAGAGACCGGAAAATACAAGAAAACCGGCGAGCCGGAATCTTTCGAGAGCAAGAAAGGACAGGAAGATTGCAGATTTTCAGTTCGACCTCTAAACTCACACTGTCTCTTGCTTACTGGTCAAGTTAATCAAACGCTCTAAGCTTGCCTCATTTGAAAAGTATGAGAGACACCTTAATGAATCATATTCTATATACGTGTTTCACATTTGTCTCTAAGCTGTGCAAAAGCATCTACTATAATGATATAGTTTAATACTACGTGAGTTGTGACTGCAAGTTTGACTCAAAGACATGCGAGATATACAAACTTCAATCCGGTTGCCGTTTTAAATACTCTGGAAAAATGCAAGGTTTTATCAAGTTCAAAGGTCTTTGACACTTAGAAAATACATTTACCTACTCATGAGGTATTCTTTTTTTTTTTTTTTTGAGACAGGGTCTCACTTTGTTGCCCAGGCTAGAGTGAGTGCCCTGGCGTCAGCCTAGCTCACAGCAACCTCAAACTCCTGGGCTCAAGCCATCCTTCTGCCCAGCCTCCCAGTAGCTGAGCGTACAGCATGCACCACCATGCTGGCTAATTTTTTCTATATATATTAGTTGGCCAATTAATTTCTTTCTATTTGTAGTAGAGACGGGGTCTCGCTCTTGCTCAGGCTGGTTTTGAACTCCTGACCTCAAGCAATCCGCCCACCTCGGCCTCCCAGAGTGCTCACAGGCGTGAGCCACCCCGCTTGGCCCATGAGGTATTCTTGATAAAAATTAAGAATCAGAATCTGCTCAAGCCTGCTACCAGAAATACAGGGGATAAAGGAACAATTTAAAAGACTTCATACCACCTAAAAACAATCAGCCAAATCTCGAATGTGGGAAATTATAGAAAACTAATAACTGGGTTTCTTTAACAAATCAATGGTTTTTAAAGGGCAGGAGATTGCAGTCGATTGAAAGAGTTTAGAGACTTGTCAACCAAATGCAATATATAGCCTCATTATGATTCTGATTGGACAAATTGTAAAAAGACCTTTTTTAAGACAGATGGAGAAATAAGAAGGTGGACAGAATATTTCATGACATCAAGTAATTCTTGTGAGTTCTGCTAGATGTACTAATGGCACTGAGGTTCCTAGTTCTTATATGTTAGAGATACATACTGAAGGATGTGCAACTAAAAATAGATAAATGAAAATATATTTCTTTGGACCTGGGGAGTTAAAGATCTTTAGAGTTAGATAGGCAATACATTAGAAACCAGAGATACAAATCTAATCATCTAATTAAGGGATGGATGGGCTCTTGTAAAGGCTGTCGACCTGTGTGAGAACTAGGTCTTGTGAGCCCAAAGTCAACACCCTTAAAATGCTTTGAAACCTTTGACATAGTACTTACAAAAAGGGACTTAGAATAACAGTAGGGCAGCAATGCCCTGCATATCTGCAACTTTAAATCTCAGGTACTTCTGAAGGAAATAAGTCACTAAGAGATAAATGTTGAAAATAAATAAATAAATCTCAGGTCCTGCCAAAATCTCTGACTCTAAATTACCTCAATTAATTGGGGCAGCATTTGCCTTTCTTAGCAGATCACTTCAGGTAACTGGAATGGAAATATTCTTCCTCAAAGTCTCATATCTTTCCACCCCAGAAAAAATTAGAAAAAATTAGCCAGGCATGGAGGCGCATGCCTGTAGTCCCAGCTACTTGGGAGGCTGAGGCAGAAGGATTGCTTGAGCCCAGGAGATTGAAGTTGCTGTGAGCTAGGCTGACGCCATGGCACTCTAGCCTGGGCAAGAGAGTGAGACTCTGTCTCAAAAATAAAATAAGATAAAGTGTGTAATCAAGTAACTGATGTAGACTCCTGGTTTTAGGCTGAAATCTTAATGAAATTTAGGCAGAGTTTCAGGACATCTAAGAGAATCTACAGTTTACCATATTCGTAAGTGTAATTGATTAGCTTTATAAGAATTAATACTTGAAGAAGATCGATACATTGCTAGATAACTGAAGTACCTGAAAAGGAAATAAAATATATTACATTTGTAAATTTATATGAAATGTATAAATACTGCACAGAAGTCAGCAAACTTTTTCTCAAAGGGCCACATAGTAAATACTTTAGGCTTTATGGGCAAGAAGGTATCTGTCACAACTACTCAATTCTGCCATTATTTTTGGAAAGCAGTCATAGACAATAAATATATAAATGAATTGGCATGACTGTGTTCCAGTAATACTTTATTTACAGAAAAAGGTGGTGGGCCCACAGGCTATAGTTTCCCAATCCGAAAGAGTCATATATTTATATTTGACAGTGTTTCATTAACTACTTTTATAAATTGAAACAAACATTACTCAAGACTATTTAAAATTATTGCTACAATGTATTAGACTTATAAATAAAATAAAATTTGTAAGCTGAACTTGAACATTTAAGAACATTATTCTTATATTAAAACATTTATTCCTTTATACCTAATAACCAGTTTTCAGGAAATGAAGAGTACATATGAACAGATTAAACACCACCATGGGATACAATCTGCAAAACCCTGATTGTGGGAAGCTGTATAGAACAAACTACCTGGTTTCTTCAACAAATAATCTACAAGGAAAAAATAATAAGGCAAAAGAGCCAAAGAGAGATGCTATGGTTTGAATGTTTGTGTTCCCTCCAAAATTTATATATTGAAACTTAATCATAAGTATGATGGTATTAAGGGGACCTACAAAAGGTGATTAAGTCATGAGGGCCTGGTGGAACCCTTATGAATGGGATTAGCAATGTATAAAATGGCTAGAGGGAACTAACATCCCTGCCTTTGTGCCCTTCCACTTTAGGCCATGTGAGGATTCAGCAGCAAGGTGCGGATTTTTTTTTTTTTGAGACAGAGTCTCACTCTGTTGCTTGGGCTATAGTGTCGTAGCATCAGCCTAGCTCACAGCAACCTCAAACTCCTGGGCTCAAGCAATCCTTCTGCCTCAGCCTCCTGAGTAGCTGGGACTAAAGGCATGCGCCACCACGCCTAGCTAATTTTTTCTATATATTTTTAGTTGTCCCACTAATTTCTTTCTATTTTTAGTAGAGATGGGGTCTCACTCTAGCTCAGGCTGGTCTTGAACTCCTGACTTCGAGCTATCCTCCTGCCTCGGCCTCCCAGAGAGATAGGGTTACAGGCGTGAGCCACTGCACCCAGCCAAGGTGCCATCTTAAAAGCAGAGAAAATAGGCTGGGCTCGGTGGCTCACGCCTGTAATTCTAGCACTGTGGGAGAGTGAGGCAGCACTGCGGGAGACTAAGGGGGGAAGATTGCTTGAGCTCAGGAGTTCGAGACCAGCCTGAACAAGAGTGGGATCCCATCTTTACTAAAAATAGAAAAAATTAGCTGGGCATTAGGTGGTCCATATCTATAGTCCCAGCTACTCAGGAGGCTGAGGCAGGAGGATTGCTTGAGCCCAGGACTTTGAGGTTTCTGTGAGCTAGGCTGATGCTGTGACACTCACCAGAGCAACAGAGTGAGACTCTGTCTTAAAAAAAAAATTAAAAAATTATGGTTTTATTTATATAAAATCCTAGAAAATAAAAATTAATATATAGTGACAGAAAGTAGACCAGTGGTTGCTTGGCTGTGGAAGCAGAGAGAGAGATGTTCTACAGAGGGGCATGGAGAATCTTTTGGGGGTGATAGAAATGTTCTGAATCTTTTTTATGTTGGTGTTTCACAAGTGTGTAACCACCTGATTTTTTTAAAAGCTTAAGAACAAATCTGGGTTTTGAATTTGTTGTTTTCACAAATTGAATGCCAATCTTTTAAACCAGGGGTTGGTGAACTTTTTCCGAAAAGGGTCATATAGTTAACACTGCAGACCTAGCAGGACACATGGTCTCTGTCACTGTTACATTGAAATTTGAATTTCACACAATTTTCACATGTCATAAAATGTTACTCTCCTTTCTATTTTTTCCAGCATTTACAAATGTAAAAAACATTCTTAACCCATGGACCACACAAATTGGCAGTGGGCCAATTTGACCCATGGCCATAGTTTGCTAGCCCTATGCAAACTTTTTACTGTTAGACTAAACCAAAAGTAAATTTTTGAGTAGTCTTTTCAGCATTGAAAAACCAGCCCAGAGGGCATGAAAACAACTCACTTTAACTATTTATTAGTAGTATTATTTCACTATTTCAATCTACAGACTTCGGGTATTTCAGGTGCAGGGATTTTTGGCAGGGATTTTTCAGAATAAACAAAGATGGGTGCAAAGTATGATTTGGCTTTGTATGTAGCTTGACTAAACGAAGGGAATGTCATGCTCAACCATTTTTTTTTGGGGGACAGAGTCTCACTCTGTTGCCCTGGACAGAGTGCCATGGCATCAGCCTAGCTCACAGCAACTTCAAACTCCCGGCTCAAGCAATCCTCCTGCCTCAGCCTCCCAAGTAGCTAGGACTACAGGCATGTGCCACCAGGCCCGGCTAATTTTTTCTATATATATTAGTTGGCCAATTAATTTCTTTCTATTTTTACTAGAGACGGGGTCTCGCTCTTGCTCAGGCTGGTTTCGAACTCCTGACCTTGAGCAATCCTCCCGCTTTGGCCTCCCAGAGTGCTAGGGTTACAGGTGTGAGCCACCGGGCCCAGCCATGCTCAACCATTTTTAAGTAGTTTCTATTCTTTGTGGCAGAGATAACTCTCTCTCAACTGGTGATTGTTTTGCGTCTATCTCCTTCTCTGATGTATTATCATTAGCCTGCATTTGTCTCATGGATCTTGATCACCTCTGGACACTGGCATGAGTGAATCTTTCCTCTGAAGCTGAGAGGAAGAAAATGAAAAAAAAATAGTGCAGGAGAGAAATGTGAAAAGAGGTTTTGTTTTAGTTGCAGAGAAGTTGGATGAGAAATATATAGTCTTAGTAAAGTAGGGAGCCAGTCTGTCCACCAAGAATAAAAAAGAGGTGGGTATGAGTGAGGTCTAAAAACTATAGAAAACCGTCACGTAGGTCATGAGAAAACAAGATATGAACAAAAGGATTGCCAAGAGGCAGTTAGACACACAGTGGGGAGGTACTGTGTGGAAAAGTAGTGCCTACATAATTCCCGCTTAGTTTGGGGAAAGGATATTATAGAAAAAAGAATAGGTAGTGAATATGACTTTTTTTTTTTCTTAATTGGCAGCCTCCTTTCTGAACCCACAAGGTCATGTCAGTACAACGTGGTCTGGCTATCCTAGCCCCATGTGATATGTCAAGGTAAGTATGTGACCTAACTCTGCCAGATGGTAGGTGGTCAACCCAGCTCGGACCCAAGCCAGGCCAAGCCAAGTTCTTTTCCAGCATTTTTGGAACTAGAAATGGAAAGAAAAGCCAGTCTCTCTTTGTGTGTCGGAACTGCTAGATGTAATAGCCCAGGGGCTGGTGGAGAAGCAGAGGAAACCTACCTGTGGAGAGAGAAGAATAAAATCAGATGTGAATTGGGGAGAAGGGTCCCAGAGGTTTTGATACTCTAATTCTAGTTATTCCTGGAGCTTAGCCTTATTGCTATACTTGGGTTCTAGGAAACAGCCCAATACCCTTGTAATATTTCATGTTTCAGTAAACAAATTCAAGTTGGCTTTCTGTCACTTGCAACCAAGAGTCCTAAATAAAACAGAATAAATGAGTGAATGAATGAATAAATGATGCCATTACCACACTCAAGGTCACAATCTTAGAGGGAGAGGTACACCAATTACTTTTAATGATGAATGACATGTGATAATAAAATCAAACTCCATTCATCTTAAAAGGGAAAGAATCCTCACTCACTAACTCAGGCAAACTGGAGAAACAGGTCTATCAACTCAGTCAACCTCAAAGAATTTTCTGATAGGTCCTACCAAGTAAAAGAAAGAAAATGTGCCCTTTGGAAATCAGAGATATTGGCAAAGAAATAGAAGAGCCTGAACCATTTCATTGGTGTGATCTGCTTTCTGTTTTGTTTTGTTTCATTGCAAGGGCAGGAAGGGTGGGACATCTAAATTGGGAATGTCTTAATACTGGAACCCAATCCCAAGCAACAAATCTTCAGTCATAGCTAAACAAGCCTATTTGTGCCTAACTTACAATTCACAACTCAAAAACCTACTGAAAGGCCAGGCACAGTGCCTCACACCTGTAATCCTAGCACTCTGGGAGGCTGAGGTGGGAGGATTGCTCAAGGTCAGGAGTTTGGGAAACCAGCCTGAGCAAGAACGAGACCCTGTCTCTACTAAAAATAGAAAGAAATTAATCAGCCAACTAAAAATATATAGAAAAAATTAGCCAGGCCTGGTGGCACATGCCTGTAGCCCCAGTTACTCGGGAGGCTGAGGCAGAAGGATTGCTTGAGCCCAGGAGTTTGAGGTTGCTGTGAGCTAGGCTGACACCACCACCACGGCACTCTAGCCTGGGCAGTGGAGTGAGACTCTGTCTCAAAAAAAAAAAAAACCTACTAAGATAGGTAAGGTTTTGAGAAGTTGTCCAGAGATTAGAGAACAACACCTGATATTAACCATTTAGAATAATCATTAAGAGGAACCACAGTAGCTCACATCTGTAATTCCAGCACTTTGGGAGGCCCAGGCAGGAGGATGGCTTTAGGCCAGGAGTTCAAGACCAGCTTGGGCAGCATAGTGAGACCCCCATTCTCTACAATTAAAATTAAAAATATTAGCCAGGGTATAGTAGTACATGCCTGTAGTCTTAACTACTCAGGATTCTGAGGAAGGAGGATTGCTTGAGCCCAGGAATTTGAGGTTACAATGAGCTATGATCCTACCACTGCCCTGTAGCCTGGATGACAGAGAGAGACCCTGTTTAAAAAAAAGAAATAAAAAAATACCCCACTTAGATTTACTCTCCTAAATGGAGGCTAGTATATTCAGGTTGAGGACCTTTCATAAGAGTCTTGGATAAAAGTGATTTGTAACCAGAGTTTCAAAAGGTTACATCAATCTTCTTGGGAAACTCACTCTTAAAGTAGCACTTCTTCCCCAAATGCTCTTAATTTTCAGCTTTTGTTATGATTATAGCTCTTCCAGAAAGTGATGTCTGTTTTATATTGAAAGAGATCAGTGAAACCTCATAAACCTTTTTTATACATAATTTTTAAATAGGCAGATTTAAAATTAATTTTTTTAATTTAGAAAATGTAAAAAGTGAAATCCACACTATTCAAGTGGCCTTCCTTTGACTAGAAAAGTGACATTTTAAGAACTGGTTTGGTCCTGGTCTTCCTTTAAAACCATCTTGTTGACTTTTGTCTCTCTGACATCTCCTGGCTGTGTGTGTATCTTTTAAGTGTGGCCACAGACTTGGCTGGTTTCTTTCTTTCTCCTTTTATTCCCATCTACGCTTCTCTTTTCATTGCCCAAAAGAGCAAATGTGTGAATTTTTTCACCTGTACATTTCCAGCCACAGGTGAAAGTATCCTAATTAAATTGGTTTTTACCTTTTTACCTTTTGCCTACTTGTTCAGTCATGCAGAGAGGAACTATCGTCTGCTACCATTTTTAAGCAGGACACAGAAAAAGTTTTCAATACAGAGAACTGTAAAGAAGATGGGGGATAATCACCCACATTTCAGACTATTTCTTTCTAGGCTTTTCTTTGTGTTTTTCCAGTGTCTCAGATTATGGGTACATTTTTCATCACAATTGTGCTGACTTTCCCTCATAATATTATTATACAGAAGCATTTCTGTTTTATTACAAACCTCCTAAACATGTATTAGATCACACTATTTCATCCAATAGGTGGAATCACAATATACTTAACCACTCGCTATTGTTAGATATTTTGCAAACCTCACTTCCGTGTCATCTCTTCAATGTCATCGGCAAGCTCTCCAAAACATGAGGTGGCTGGGCAGGATTGTCAGTCATGAGATCTCAAGTGATAGCTTGTCCACCGGTCGCCAGGCGGGACGTTTTCGAGGATGAAAAGCCGCTTTGCTGGCGCATGAGGAGTGAGGTAGCGGAAAGGGCAACCCAAGAGGGCGAGATGACGCTTTCTAAAAAGACAAACACAGCTTCAAATAGTAGAAGCAAGGCTCCACTGAACGTGCATTCAGCAAAGGCCCTGCGCTACGAGCCCGCAGTACCCACAGACGTCTCAACAAACACTTCTGGCCTGAAGAGTTGAGCGCAAAGATAATCTATAAATGAACAGAGGATTCCCTAGCAGCACTGGGGAGGAGTATTGGGGCTTCCAGCCAGCCTGACTTCCAGAGAATGGAACGTCACTGGAGATTGAATTCAGTCTTGGAACCAAGAATTCAATCCACCAAGCCTACGTCATGAAACCCCAGTAAAATTCCAGTCACTGAGGCTGGGGCAGCTTCCTGGTCAGCAGTCACATTGGGTGAGTTCTGATAATGCACGCTGGGGCACAGAAACTCCACATTCGGGCTTCTCCCAGATCTTACCCTGTGCGTCTCTTCAGTTGGCTGGTCCTGTCTGTATCCTTTATAATAAAACAATAATAAACGCAGTTTATTATCCTGAGTTCTGCAATCATTCCATCAAATTATCAAACCAGGGAGGGTTGCGGCAACCTCCGAATTTGTTGGCACTTGGAAGGGTGGGTGTCTAGGGGACCTCCCAACTTGCAGCTGGGATCTGAAGGGAAGGCAGCCGTGCTGGGGACTGTGCCCTTAACCCTGTGGAGTCTCCGCTCACTCTGGGTGGCTTACGTAAGAACTGTGTTGCAGGACTTTAAGTAAGATAATACCAAATATTTGTGTCTTAGAGAAATCAGCCAGTGACAATATAAAGAGTGGATTAGACAGGGTAGAGTGTGAAGGATAGAGCGCTGCAGATTGCTGGAAATCAGGAAGATCAATAAACCAGACCAAAAAGCAGTCCATCAGGAGTGAAACTGTTCTTTTTGATCTCACTTTCAGGACAACAGTGTGTTTAAGAGGATGAATTACAAATATCTCTGTGAAATAAGTGTGCGAAGAGGCAGATCAAAGAGCAGCAGCCCCAGGGGTTAGTTCTGCGTGTGTCCAGCCCTGCGTGGGACAGGAGGAAGACAGCAGTTTATTGGCTTAAGGATTTGGGTCTTTTAAAAATACATTTTTCTTTTGAATTTTTGGGAAAAGTTTCAAGATCCAAAAGAGTAAAACAATCATGTGTCATCATGTGCTTACAGGTCAACGTTTTCTTCTCTTTTTCTTCACTTGTTCTATTTGGGCATATTTGTTTTTTATTTAAATTAGTGATGCTCACTCAGTGTAAGCGGAGGAAGTAATTTTCCTCCCCAGGGGACATCTGGCAAAGTCTGGAGATATTTTAGGTTGTCACAATTGGAGGGTGCTGTTGGCATCTAGTGGACAGAGGCCAGAGATGCTGCTGAACACTCTATAGTGCACAGGACTGCCCCCAACATAGAATTATTCGGCCCCAAATGTCAGTAGTGCTGACGCTGAAATATTCTAACTTAAATAAAAGAAATAAAATATTACAGATAAAATTGAAGTCCCTTTGTACCCCTCCCCAAACTCAAACCCATATCCCATCCATCTTCTTCCCAAAGGCAACCATTATCATGAATTAGCTATAGGGACAGAGGTTGTTTTGTATCTGTTTGGGTTTTTTTGTTTATTTGTGGGTGTGTTTTTTTTGGTAACTTCTTTTTCTGCTTATTTCTTAGGGTTCAAACTTTCTGAAATTTTTAGTTATTTTTCAGTTTCTTCTACAGGATGGAAAGTACCAAATGTCAGGGCTCCGAACATGATATCCTAAAACATGACACCTTGACATACTGAATGATTTTAAGCTGAAGGAAATGGAGAAAACTGCAAGATCAGAAAGGTTACTCTCTGACCTTCCCCTGCCTTTCCCCCAAAAAACATGACCATCGGAAAATTTTTTGACCTACCTACACTGAAAGTAGGTCATAAGACCCTCATGTGACAGGTGTCCCTCCTGGCGACAGGTGTCTTGCCCTATGTGCAGAGGAAAGGAATGACGACACAGCAATGACAAGAAGAATCTACACAAACAGGCCTTGCTAAGTTCCCTAGATCATGCCATTCATTTCCTCCAGCCACACCCCTGCATAAAAATGCACAATTTTCCCTGGGTCTTTGAGTTGTCATTTCTGAAGGCTCCCGTGTCACATAAAATTTTGGTTAAATAAATTTGTCATGCTTTGCTCTTATTAATCTGTCTTTTGTTATAGAGATGCCATCCATGAACCTTGTGATAGGCAGGGAAAAGATATTACTGTTTCTCCCCTACACACATGCCACTACCACCATAAAAAAAGTATTTAAAATATAAGGTTTATACACCTCAAAAAAAAAAAAAAGTAACATCTGGGTAGTGGAGTAGTGGGTGGGTAATATATATATATTCAACTTTATACTTTTATGTATAATATGTAATGAATCTTTTTACCTTTGTAATAAAGGAGAAAAAAGTTCTTTTCTTTTCTTTCCTTTTTTTTTGAGACAGTTTCACTTTGTTGCCCCCGGGCTAGAGTGCTGTGGCGTCATCAACTCATAGCAACTTCAAACTCCTGGGCTCAAGCGATCCTCCAGCCTCAGCCTCCCAAGTAGCTGGGCCTACAGGCATGCACCACCATCCCTGGCTAATTTTTTCTATATATTTTTAGCTGTCTAAGTAATTTTTTTCTATTTTTAGTAGAGACAAGGTCTTGCTCTTGCTCAGGCTGGTCTCGAACTCCTGAGCTCAAACAATCCACCTGCCTGGGCCTCCCAGAGTGCTAGCATTACAGGCATGAGCCACCGCGCCTGGCCTAAAAGTTATTTTCAAAGGGACAGTTCAGCCCCAAAATTATTTATTCCAGGATTATTTAAATAAATTTCTGATTAAATCAATTTCTGATTGCTAATGTTTTGCACAAATACTTGCAAACCATGAGTCGAGGTGGCTCTATAAGGTACACCTGCAAAGAGGTCGCTGCTGTGAAGCAGATCACAATCTAGAGTGGAAGTGACTCATTTTTAGGAAAATTATGAATCTAAATAAATCGTAATTATTAGCCAATAGAACTGATGGGCGTGCTTAGTAGATACTTGGCAATCATTTAGTTAATCTATTCATTGTAGCTGATGAAACTAGATACTTTAAACCACAAGGCCCTATTGGAGTGGACAAATACACTGATCAAATTTCAAAGACAGTAAGTTCTTTTTTGCAGCAGCTTGGAATCCTACGTGCAATTTTGATACCAACCAAATGGAATGTCACAGATAAAGCGACTCTTACAACTAGGAAAAAAGAACCCCAACACATCAACACATGTTGGTATAGCACCTGGTTGGTTGATCAACTAATTGGCCCCTAGCATGACATCTCTTCCCCTTAGTTTAAAAAAAAAAAAAAAAGCATCCCAATTTGCTACTTATTTTGAGTGAGGTTTTGTATCGAAAGCATCAGAATTCAAATCAGGGCCCTCAAATTCAAAGGCAGCAGCAATGACATGTCACATGGTGGTAATAGTCACTCAGACGAAGCAATGTTCCAGTACAGGTCTCCATTCTGCCTCATTAGGAACTCTTATGTCATAGACAGAACCTCCATAATGCAGTTGATTGGCCTAAGCAAGAGACAGACAGCTTTTTCCGTGTTAGGCTGAAAGGTGGCATGGAGGATGGAAATTCATCCCCTGATTTTTCACTGTTCTCAAATGTTTTGCTAACTGATTCATCAGAGCAAGTGAAAGCAGAGTGTCTTTCAACATCTCTCAAGAGTATCAAGTAGCTGATTGCAACTTTTCACATTCCTTCTGCATCTGGATTGTGTAACCTACGGGGATTCTGCAGAATATGCCGATAGTGGTTTCCTCCTTGACCTTCAAGTTAATTATCACCATTGAATCTTTAATGCTTTAAAAATATATGTGTGTTTATTTTGTTTGCAAATCAGTGGTTTGATAAATGCCAGTGTACACATTAAATTATGTTAATGTTTAATGTCTTTTTTGAGCAGTCAAAAGTGCATTAAAAATTAAAATAAAATTAATTCCCACTTTCCCCTTCTGACACTGTTGGGTAATGTTCTTTTACACCATGTTATAGTGTTCTACAAATTGACGTTCAGTGCTTTGAATTAATGAACTTGCTGATTTATTTACTGCCTTGGGTGTTATTCATTACTTTTTCAATTACCGTAAAACTTTATACATCATGGCATGAGACCCTGAGCAATCAGATAAATAGTGTTGGGGAGATTTTCTTTTAAATGGGATCATGTAATCAAGACAAGAGACTAAATGAGTATCTCTAATATGCCAGCCAGCAACACTGGGCTCCATGTTGGTGAGCTTGTGAATAACCTTCCAAAAGTGAGCACTTCACCATCAGAATACAGGGGAAACCCGACCTCCTGCCCTTGAGTCTCCGCACGAGTCATGGCAAGCCATCCACATCTACAGGGCTAAAAAGCAAGAATTTCTAGGATCCAGCATATTAGCAACAGACAGCTGAAAGATTTTGAAGGTTCTGGCATTGTGTCATATCATTCTACAAACTTTCAGAACTGCCAGAAGTGATCATTATGCTTTGCACCGAGACCTAGATGTGTCCGTGCATTTGATTTCTTTTACTAGGTATTATATTAAGCACTGACAAGGTTCCTAGCACTTCCCTGGGATCTAAGGGTTGAGAACACACAACACAAAGATGACATTCCCCTAGGGGGAGGTTTTAATCTTCTGGAAACCCTGTGTCATTGCCGGGAGGGGCACCCCACGTAGAACACAGAACACTGCTGTAAAACTCACAGGGAGGCGAGGCTGAGGCAGGGAAATGTTAGAAGAGGCCTCAGTGTGCTGCTCCCATAATCACTCCTAGAGCAGTGGGGAGCGAGGAGAAGCCGTTGGCAAGGCGACAGAAGCAGCAAATTGGCTCAGTGGGAGTCCAAATTCAGCAAGCCAAGCCAGGCTGGCCTGGCTGTGGTAAAAACCCAGCCACTTGCTCCAAACACACCCGGGACTGAGGTTTCTTCCAGCCTGCTCAACTTGCTCTGCTGGGTGGTCCTAGGTCTACCGGTGTTTGAAATGTGCCATTAGAAAGGGAAGCCTTTTGCTTGGCATGAGGAATTTAATATTCAGAGGTACAGGTGAAGAAAGGAGGAAGGACTTGTTATCCCCCTAGAAAGACAGGCCTAAGGACAGGATGTGGCACTGCTCATATACCCCAGAGGCCGGGCAGCCCCCTAGGTTGCCGAGGGAGTTTGAGACCAGCCCACGCAAATCACGAGAGGAGGGGGCAGCTGTTTAATTAATAAGCATTTATTAGCCTTGTGCAAAGTTAGCAAAATACCCATCACAGAAGGGGACTTTTCTGAAGTATCTGCTCTCGGTTTATCTGAAGAGCCAGGATGGAGGGACCACGTGTAGGTCAGGTTCTGAGAGAGCCATGCCTGGTGCTGGGATCTGGGGTGGATAGGGCAAGATCAGGCCCAGCCTGGGTCCATGCAATGACCATAGGGTCCTTCGAGAAGTGACAATAGCCTGGGAGAGAGACCGAGGGAGAGATTCAGAGATACGTCCCACCTGGGTCTCTGGAATGGGTGTGTCACTTTAGTCCCCGTCAGGACTCATGAATTCCCCAAATGCAAATGTCACAGCAATGGTTTCTTGTACAAGGTGGACAGCAGCTCCAGATAGTTTGGGACCTAACCGTATCATTCTCCTTTTAACAGTCTCCAAAGGGCTCCCACTGTCTGCAGGTTACAGGGTCAAAAGGTGCCTCCAACTGCCTCCAGCTGCCTCCAACTGCCAGCTCAGGATGATTTAGGCAGAGAACCTAGTAACAGTACCGAGGCCTGCTATTTTTACCCGCACTGCTCCCATTGCAGCTAGAGATGCTGTGAAAGTGATGTTGAAAAGTTTAGAGATCTTGATGTATCTGTTCATCTTAAACTTATTATAACGATAACTTTAAATGTTCAGCTTCTATCCTGACGTTGATTTTTACAACTTAAGTCTAATTTTTAAGCTTTACAAGGAATATTAATGGAATGATTTTCCTTTGCCAGCAAAGTAAAAAAATGGAATAATTTACTTAGGAATTCAGCCGGTATCTATTTTTTTATGGATGGTTTTCATCATAGCGATCCCAAACTCTTCTAGGAATATTACCTGCCTATCTATTGCCCCATAATTCATATTGGGGAATATTTGCTTTCTGCTTTTTTGTTAATTCAGGGAGCTCATCTCAAAATGGAAACTTGAAATCTAATCAAATGACTCAGGTATCCCACTCTAGCCTTCATATAGTTTCTTATATGAAACTAACCTTATTAAATTCTTTTCCAAACTACTTCTACTTCTAAGTTTCCCTGTTGATTTCTACCACTTCCACCAAATCCATTTGTTTCATCGCTCATTGGGACCCATGAATCCCCTCAAATTATACCTAATACTTGGTTCGTGTGCCCATATTTTTCTGGGGAGAAACCCCATAGCTTTCATTCTATTCTCAAAGAGCCCATGACACTGTCCTCCTCCAAAAAGGATCAAAACGATGTCGTTTTAATCCATGCTATCATCAGACAACACTTGTACTACTAAAACAGCCTCCTCTGACACGGCCCCACTGCTCCCATCAATCAAATACAAGGTCTACTCCTGCTCCTCCCTGCCTCCTCCTAGTCTGCAGGAGTCTGGCAGGCCCCTCCCCTTGGCACCACCATGTCACTTCTATTCCTAATTCTCCATTTGCTGCTGTCCTCCTGGGAATACCTCCCATGGCCCTCTCCCCGTGCCCATCCACTTGTGACCCTTCAAGGCCCAGAAAAAAACACCTCCCAGACCAAGAGTAGCCCAGAGAGAGTCTGCTTTCAGATGACAGAATAACTGAGTGGCGTGTGGGTCTGGAGGTCTAAAGGGTTGGAAATGTTGATATGAGAGCTGTCTGCATGAAGCTTAAAACCTTGAAAAAAGATGAGCTCTCTAAGGTCAAAAAAGCAGAAGGC